TAAGGAAAGGAGCATAAAAAAATGTGTTCTGTAACATATTTATGTATATATAATAATATATTGTAATAAATGTATCGATAAATGTATAAGGATTTTAATAATATTATTAATTTTATTATTATTTGACCATATCGTTCCATTGTTTTGCACAATGCGTTTTCAAAATGTTCTGTCAAAATTCAAAATAAATTCCTAGGAGATTTATCTCCTAAATGATATCGGTTAAATTTCTTAAAGTGATAAAATGATAAAGGAGTTTGCAAGTGGAATGCCAATTGACCAAAATTTGGTCTTAACAAATTATACCAAATAAACTGATAAAGGAGTCTTTATTGAAAAATTTGGCAGCCATCAAGATGATACCTAAAACTGGTAAGTTGTAAAATAGTTTTTATTTATTAAATATTGACCTATTGGCTGTATCATTTATTATTATTGTTAGATGCATCTTTACATTTAAATTAAGTGTTTTCTTCTCGAAGTTTGGGAAAGTAAGAACGAGAATTTCTTTATTTTCAAAACGTGCCAATTAAAAACAAACATGGCGTCTATCTGAAGTTAGTTACAATTAACCATAGAGTAGATAACTTTTAGATACGCTTTGGCGCAAATATTCAAAATTGCTAACATTATTAACTATAATAGTTTGTAAACGATTTGAAAAATGTGGCTTATAAATTAGCTGATTCTTTAGACCCTTATTATGTACTTTAGGGTGGTCCTCAATATGGATGTTTTCGAATTTCCTTGCTCCCAGAGGCTCAAATAAATACTTCTAGAAACTCATTTCCTCATTCGTTCATACTATTTCTCTTCAACTTATTACTAAGTGTAATTTTCAGGTTTCAGGTTGGCCCTAGTCCAGGCAAAAACAGTCCAGGACAAACGAACCAACGTCAATGCAGCTGCTCAGGCAGTTCGCATCGCAAGAAAAAGAGGCGCCAGGGTCGCTGCTCTTCCTGAGTGCTTCAGCTGCCCATACGATCCAAGTAAGATAAAAGACTTATTGGTCTAATCTGGGATAAAAAATGATAATTTTCTGATGGAATTATTTATTAGTATATATTCCTTTCATAGGTCATTTTTCCCAGTATGCAGAACGTATTCCAGAAGGCCAGACTAGCCAAAGTCTAAGCAGCATTGCTCGTGAAAGTGAAATTTATTTGGTGGCAGGAACTATACCAGAATTGGGAGCTGATAATAAATTGTACAATTCTTGCACAGTTTGGTCGCCCAAAGGAGAACTTATTGCTACACACCGCAAAGTAAATAGAAATAGAAATATCAATAGTAAATGATGCATACAAATTTTTTCTTAATCTATCTCACAGATTTTTTTCGAAACTTTTTTTTGATGATGTCTTTGATCCTTGTTTTATTTTTCACAGTTACATCTATATGATATCGACATTCCAGGACAGATACCAGTCAAGGAATCATCGATTTTATCAGCAGGACAGACTTTGACGACGTTTGATGTGGATGGAATTTGTAAAATCGGAATTGGCATTTGTTTTGATGTCAGATTTGCTGAAATGGCTCAACTTTATAGAGATTTAGGTATAATAACCTAAAAGGTATAATGGACCAAAAATCAGAAATGAAAATTTTTGCATTTCTCGACGTTTTGAAGGTTTCTGAACATTTTGCCATACCTCAGAAAAAACCGATGTGTGTGTGTGTGTTTTGTATGTCCGCATTTTTTGGTCCACGTTTTCGGGCGCACGGATCAACCGATTTGAATGATTTAAAAAACTTTCGATTCCTATTAATAGGGAGATGTGCTGATTAGTTTTTGGCAAAGGCAGGTCCAACCGTTACGGAGATACGGAGCAAATAGTGCAGAAAATACAAATTGAGTTTTTGAGAGAACGGAGTATCGGATTTGAATGATCTAAAAAACATTCAATTTGCAATGATTGAGAGAAGAGGTGATTAGTTTTTGGCAAAGACAGGTCCCGCCATTTCGAAGATACAAAGCTAAATGTGCAAAAAATGGCAGTTTTTGAGTGAACTAAGCGTCCGATTTGAATGATCTAAAAAACTTTCTGCTTGTATTGACAAAACAATTGCTTTTGAGGATAAAAAATTATTACATCTTTTCTTATTTTCCATAAAATATTTTTGCAATTTTGGATTAAAAATTCAAAAAATTACCCAGCCTAAGCACTGTCTAAGCGCCACTCTGGTACAAATGTTTACCCAAGTGCGTTTAGACTGTGAATATACTTGAGCACTTTTCCAATTTTGTGAAAACTATTGAAAAATGTTAAAATGCCGCCAAGCTAAGCACAGTATAAGTGAAAATGTCGCACTGAATTATTTGCAAATGCGTTAGACTGTGACTATATAGGAGCGATTTTTCAATTTTGTGTAAATTAGGCTACTATTTTTTTTTTTGAAATTGAATTCGCAATGAAATGACGACGATTGTTAATGTTCTGGAGATAAATGATTCTGGATTTATGATTTACATTTGACTTGCTCAGATATAACAAGATAGCAAAAATAATGAAAGTTACAGTATTTGTAATAATATATTTGAAAACGTTTAAAATTTCTCGAATATTTTATTACGGTACGGGAAGTTCCAGCAATTCGCCTTAAGGCACGATGCCATACACCACTAGTTATTATCGTTTATTATCCTTTATCCAGGTTGTCAAATGCTGATTTACCCTGGAACCTTCAACATGACCACCGGTCCCCTTCACTGGAGACTTCTGCACAGGGCTCGTTCAGTCGACAACCAGGTGTACGTGGCAGCGGTGTCTCCTGCAAGGGACACAGGAGCCCCTTACATTGCATACGGGTACTCCATGGTCGTCGACCCTTGGGGGCAGGGTTATCAAATGTGCGGGGGTAGATGACGAGATTATACATGCTGATATAGGTAAATAGGATAGAGGAAATATATATATATATATATATATATATATATATATATATATATATATACACTGAATGATGGCTAAGATGCTAGCCGAAACGTATGGATTTTAAATAAATAAACTTTTAAAAAAACTCTCATACTATTTTTATTGATGTTACGCCCGAATATTAAACTCAAATTAAACATATATATATATATATATATATATATATATATATATATATATATATATATCAACATCAAATTCAAGACTATTCAAAAATAAATATTTATATATATATATATATACTAGATGACCCGACAGGCATTGTCCTGTACCCACGTCTACAATTCAAAAGTTCCAATTTTTTTAATATCCTTTCCTATATTTTTAGTATCCTATTTGATGCCCTACCTTTGTGATTCATTTTTGGTGTTAGCGTAAATAGTATAAAAAATTCAAAAAAAATATAGTATTTGCGGTAAAAGAACAAAATCACACTTGATTTTACCACACAACATAATTGCTTCAATAATTTAGTCTAAAATTTTCATAATCTCATACGATGTATTAGTAGCTTTTTGGCTATTATAATTTCTAAAGTACATTTTTCTCACTAATAATTTACTAAACATTATTGTTTATGTTCAAATCTGAGGCGAATTAATTTGTAAAATCTAGTTCATATGTGCACTCTTCAATCTAAGATCAACTTGCTAAATATTTCATATCCAATGCCAAACAAATTAATTTTTGACACAGAAAACAATTCTAAATCATTTTTTTAATAAGTAGAAATATTTTTGTGTATTATTAAATAATTTAGTAAAGTAACCACAAATGCAACATGCATAAGTTTAAAAAAATATGGTATATGCAATTTTAGACTTATTGCGTTATTTATTAAACTGAATTATATAATTACATCTGCCAAACATATATAGTGTTGACTGTATCTTATATTATTTTAATTTCCTGCAGATATCAGCTGCTTTTTGGCAATAATAATGTAGACATAACATTTTTTTTGTATATTACATTCTAATATTATCTAGGCTCATTATTTCAGCTAAATTCAAATTTCAAATGAATCGACATTTCTAGCAGATGACAGTCAATGTCAGACAATGATAAGTGATTTTTTGTAATTTTTGCCGTTTATTTCTACAATATTACTAGAGTTTTATCGTTCATTAAATCTCAAAAATTTTCTTTGACAAACTCTAAAAATATTTATCAAAATCCGAATAACCGTTTAGAAGAAGTATCAAATCATACACCTGTACAAATGTTTTATGTATAAGATATATATATATATATATATATATATTATATATATTATTATTATTATTAATTATTCTGTTTTTTTTCAGATTTGAAAACAGTGGAAGATTTTCGAAACAAGGTGCCAGTTTACAAACAACGAAGAACAGATGTTTATGAAACAATTCTGAAACAAACAGTTAAAACAAGTTAAATAACAATAATTAACAATGAACAATTATGGGACAATTGATTCATTGTATTGTGTGCTGTAACATCAAACTTTTAATAACAATTTGTAGTGTAAAATAGAACAATTCAATTGTCACATTGTGAAACATTTGCGAATAAGATAGTCTAAGATTAAGAATAAGAGATGTCATTTCAAAAAAGTGGTGGTTATAAAAACTATGTGTTAATTATTATATTGTTATTAACTGAACTACTTGTTAAAATTTTCTATTATTGGTTTTGCATTTTAAAGTTTATAATAAATATCCTACGTTTATATTAATTATTTATTTAGTGATATTTTATATAAAACGGTCTCAACAAATTTAGTAAAGTATTATAGGCCTACGAAAAGTGGTTTAAATATAAAAATCCAGTGCAGTTTGGAATAATGTGCAACAATTTTAAGATCGTGTCTTTTCTAAGAGCAAGTTTGTACAAAATAACATATTAACGGGTATTATAAATCTGTTTAATTGAAATCAATAAAAACTTTATATAACAAGCCAATTTTTCTCTTTTACAACTATTTGAATTTACCGGTCTTTTTGTATTACTGCCATCTTGTCAACTTCACATCAAACTCATTGTGCAACACAACACAGCTGTTACAAATGACTTTCAAAATTAGAGGTTATATTTATGTTTTATTTATTTATTAAATAATCTATTATTATTATATCAGTTACTTTCATAGATAAGAAAATTCCAAGTTATATTATCAAACACAAGCAATTCAAATGAATATAGCAAAGAAAATGGCAGCCAGTAAGTCATACAAAAATTATTTAAATATAAAATTAATTAATTAAGCTATGATTTTATTATATTTGCTTACTTTATTTTGTAGAATTCAAATTAGCTTTGGTTCAACTGCATGTCACAGCAGATAAAAAGAGTAATGTGGAAAGAGCTTTGAAGTTGATTGAAACTGCAAAGTGCAATGGTGCAAAATTAGTCGCTTTACCAGAATGTTTTAATTCTCCTTATGGCACAGGTAAGAGGATATATATATTTATATATATATATATATATTTATTTATTTATTGTACTATAAAGTTTTCTAAGAGAACTTTGAGTCTACAAACGCACAAAATCATCTGACCATTGACAGTGATTTTGAGATTAACGGAGAATATTAAGTTTCTTTTTCAATCTGGGCCTGGTAGTGTTCTCACAAAGTCTTCTGGCATTTAGTTAGGTCATCTTTAACGTTGTTTTTGTACTTTTGTGAATAAATTCGTATTTAGTCACTTATTGTGCTGATATCGGCATTGTTATGATTCACTCAACTTAGGGCATTCTTTTATTGATATCTTTAAATTTATAAGATGATTAATTAGGAAACTGATTTCTATATTTGTGTGACGTATGTCTAAATAGATTCAAGAATGATTTTGTATAAGCAAATGCTGCATGTGTCAAATTTTTATTACTGTACAAGAAGCCAATGATATCTTTTTATGGCTGCAGTCAAAGAACTGGGGTGAATTCTACCAAATGGGCTAAAAACGGAAATGGGAGTAAAAAGTTTATATTTCTAATTGATATTTACTACGTAATATAAAAAATAACTAGTGGTGCATGGCATCGTGCCTTAAGGCAAATTGCTGGAGCTTATCAGACGATTTTCTTTTGTATTTGGTTTTTTTGTCATGGGGTAATACAACTTATACAAAAATATTCTGGGGTAATGATTCAATGAAAAGTTTCTCGACTGCTGTCTTAGGGAAATCATAACATCTGTCCAAATTTCTGTTAAGAATATCTTACTAGATGAAAAACGACCTGGATTATTTAAGTTTGTACAATAGAGTACTTTAAACTTCTTATATTACAATTATGTTTAAATTAACTGTTGCAGAAAATAAATTGCCTATTTTTATGAAACTTTTTTTGACGTTTGATATCATAGTCTTATAGAACATACTAAAATGTTGACAAATAGTTTCATGTAAAAATTCTTCAAAGTTTGAAAAAATATTATAGTCAAAATTCGTGTCAAATTCGCTTTCGTGATGTGATGATTCAAAATTATCAGTTTATTAAAATTTAAAATAGTAAGCTACAATTTTAGGGCATTCAAGTGCGTATCTGTGCAATATAATTAATATAATTACAGAAATTTTCTTAAATGTGTTTGAGAAAATTCTACTCAAAATTGCAATGTTTGTAGTTAATAAATCGATATCTTTATTTTTGAAATAAACAGTTGAAAATTTTATCTAAACATCTAAATTTCAATTTCGATTGATTAAGTCAATTCTTACACATTTCGAGAAATTCATGCAACTTGCCTTGGCTAAATGCCACTTTCAACTAGCCATAAAAGCAATATTCATTAATATATTTTATTACAAGATTCTAAGTACATATATATTTGGTAAATTTATGCCTACATTTAAAATTCTATTATTATAGTATACATATAATCCATGTAAACAGCAATGTAAAAAGCTTGAATTGTAAATCATAAGCATCATAAACCAAAAACAAAAAAAATAACCTAATCTTTACAAAATTATAATACTTTCTTAAAAAAACCATTGACTCCTTATAATATAAATATTCATTTCACAAGTCAATATAAATTTATTTTGAAAGAAAAACTAAATTGTTTCCTTATTATTTACAATTATCTGAGTGGTGTTTTGTAGCAAAGTCGAAATGACTAATTATAAATCATTTTAATTTCATGTGTCTTTTTATCAATGTACGGCTGCTGCAGCAGCAGCAACTTGCTGCAAATGTAATGTTCGTTCGTGAGTCTTTCCATGTGTTTTCAATGCTGAAGGTTGTTTGAAGGCGTGTCCACAAATTGTGCAGACGTAAGGTGATTCTCCAGTATGTGTTCTTGTGTGTTTTATCATGTCCGATTTTTGGGCGAAGGCTCGGGTGCAATACTGACATTGGAATGGTTTTTCACCTAAAAGAATAAAATAATAATAATAACTAGCTGTAAGTGGAATTCTGTCTTAAGGCAATTAGGGCATCGTGCCTTAAGGCAAATTGCTAGAACTTCCCGTACCAAAAATTATTATTTCTTTTAAAAACGATTAACATTTTTGAAAAAAAATTACTTCGAAAAAAAGATTTTTGAGAAACTATAAATTTGACAAAAAAATTACTTTTTTTTGAAAAAAAAAAATTGAAAAAAAAAAATTATTTAAATTTTTTTTTTAAATTTTTTTTTTGAAAAAAATGTTTTCTTTATTTTGACATATGTTGGAAGATCTGAACTTTTTTCAAAGCAATCGTACTGCTTTAAATGCTAGAGACAAAATATAAAGCGCGTAAGCGCCGCGTCGCTGTCTAACGGGTAAACATTGGTACGGAACCATAGGAATGTAAACAAAATTTATACTTATTGTTAAAATCTCTATAAATATCTGATAATTTGATGTGCATATGTCTAATGAACATTTTTGACCGCCAAATGGCATTTTTTTTTTACTTTTTTCGTTATATCTCCGAAACCGCTAACCTGCCCTTATAAAAATTCGATCAAATCTTCATATTGTCATACAAGTAAAATGTTTTTGAATTATTAATATCGGACGCTCGTTCTATTAAAAACTGAGGTACCGTTTTTGGCACTTTTTGCCCCATATCTTCGGAACGGCTAGACCTACCTCCGCCAAAAACTAATCAGCACGTCTCCTTATCAATACGGATCGAATGTTTTTTAAATTAATCATATTGCTTCATCCGTGTTCCCGAAATCGTCGACGAATATTTGTATCCGCACACACATACATACTACGCACACACACACACACATACATCCATTTTTTCTAAGGTATGCCAAAATGTTCAGAAACCTCTGAAACGTAAAGATATATAAAAATTTTCATTTTCGATTTTTTTGCGATTACTATAACTTGCCCTACGGGAAGTTAATAATAGTAACCAGAATATTGGTTTTTTAAATATAATTTTCTATTATTACCTGTATGTGTTCGAACATGGTTCTGCAGAATGAATAAACTGATAAATCGTTTCGGACAATAATCACAAGGATAAGGCCTCTCTCCACTATGAATTCTTTTGTGTTTTATTAAAGAGAATCCTGTCGTGAATCGATTTCCGCATTCGTCACAAACGTGAGCCTTTTCGCCTGTGTGTGTGATCATATGCTTTTTCAAAGTACCTGAAGAAAAAATAAGAATAATATTTAGTTAAATTGATATCGGCATATTGTTTATTATATTTTAATGAAAAAATTTGAGAAGAATGTTGAAATATATAACAATGAAACTTGGAAGTATCGTTTCAATTAAATATTTATGTTTTTTCCTAAAAATTCTTTAAAAAAACGATTTTTTAAAGCCTCTAAAGCAGGCTCCCCTTTTTTGTACACGGATATCATTTTAATGTAAATTCTATCCTTTGTACTCTTATTTATTTAAATTTGTGTTATTATTTATTATTATTACTAGATGTTAAATTATTTAACAGTTGTAATAAAGATTGTAATTAAAAAAAAAAATTTGGACTTTTGATACGACGATAATGAAAACGAAACATAAATAAATGTAAATGGATAATCGACTCTATTGACGAACAAGCCTGTAATTGAATAGAGGAAGAAACTTGTAGAATATTTTGTTCTGTAATAGTCAAAGAGACTCTACTGACGAGCAAATTAAGAGCAAAAAAGCGGAAGGGAGATATTTGACAACCTAATAAAAGGTCTCTAATTAACGAGTAAGCTAATCATAGGCTGGCAATTTTAAAAAATTCAAAACAAATAAAAAAGGGGAACTTATAACTGATAAAAAAGAAAACTTAATAAATATTACGTTCTGTAATAGGTAAAAGGACTCTACTGACGAGCAAACTAATAATTGGTTTCTAGAAGAGGTTAGCAAAGTATGTATGTATTACTACTTGTAATCAACGAAAAGACTACTGATGAACAAACTAAGAAACTGGCAGAATATTATGTTATGTAATAGATAGGGACTCTATAATTTGAAACAAATAAAAGAACTCTACTTTACTGACAAGGAAATTGATCAAGGATGAAACTTGTGAAATATTACGTCATAAAATGAATTAAAAGACTCTACAGAGAGCAAACTGATCATTGACTCATAGAAGAAACTAGCAAAGTATTATCATTTGAAGCAAAAAAATAACTCTATTGACGAGGAACTTATAGCAAAATAAAAAATTACGTCTTGTGATAAATAAAAGGACTCTACTAACATACAAACTGACCATTGACTCATGGAAAAATCTTGCAAATTATTACAATTTGTAACAAATTAAAGGGCTCTACTGATTGGGAAACTGATAGCAAAAAGATACTAGTCGAATATTACTCTCTGTAATAGATAGGGACTCTACTGACGAGGAAACTGAACATTGTCTCCTGATAAAATTAGCAAAGTTTCACAATTTGAAATAAATAAAAAGTCTCTAGTAATAGTTAAAAGGACTCTACCGACGAACAAACTGATAATTTACTTCTGAAGAAACTAGAAAAGGACTCTACTGACGAGTAAACTGTAAATTGACTCCTGAAAAAACTAAAGTATTACAATTTGAAACAAATAAAAGGACTCTACTAACGAACAAACTGGTAGAAAGAGAAACTTATAAAATATTACGTTTTGTAGTAAGTAAATGGACTCTACTGATGAGCAAACTGAGCATTTGACTCAAGAATGAATTACAATTTGAAATAAATAGGACTCTACTTATGAGGCAATATTAGTAGAATTTTTGACATAAAATATTTCGTCGTCTTGTAGATAAAAGGGACTCTACTGACAAGCAAAGTTGATCATTTAATTAATTAATTTATAATTTAAACTGATTGCTTACTCTTGAAATTAGCAATTATTATTTGAAACAAATAAAATGACTACTGACGAATAAACTAGTTGAAAAAGAAACTTGTAAATTATTACGTTCTGTAATAGATAAAAGGACTCTACTGATGAGCAAACTGGTTGAAGGAGAAACTTGTAAAATATTGTATTCTGTAATACTTGTAAAATATTACGTTCTGCATAAGATAAAAGGGCTCCACTAACGAGCAAACTGATAAAGAAAGAAACTTGTAAAATTTCATGCCCTGTAATAGCTAAAAGGACTCTACTGACGAGCAAACTAAAAATTGACTCTTGGAAGAAACCAGAAAAGTATTACAATTTGAAAACAAATAAGAAGACTCTACTGTCGAGCAGACTAGTAAAGAAAGAAACTTGAATTTTGTTTTGCCCTGGAATAGACAAAAGGATTCTATTGAAAAGGAAAGTGATTAACAACGAAACTTGTATAGTACTCTACTGACGAGCAAACTGATGAAAAAACAAACTTGTAAATATTTTGTTATGCAATAGATAAAAAATTGTACTGACTATTTTCTGATTAGAATTTTTGTTACGTCTTTTAATAAACATTAAGTAAGGGGGGTCTATTAATTATATGAGGCTTTTAGGGGGAGGAGGGGTTCAGTCAAAGATATCACGTGTATTTATTTTTACCTAACTTTTCAAAAAAATCAGAAATTTTACTTAACTAAAAATACACGTAATGTTTGGAGACGCGGCGAATAATTTTAAGTATCACAATGTATCACCAAGAGAGAAGAGGGTCCAAAAATCCCTAAAAAATCGACTAGCGTTTGCAGATAAAAACGTGGTTTCCAACCTGTGGGTCGCGAACCAACAGTTGATTGCAAAATACTATTTCCAAAAAATTAAACCAAAAACATTGAAATGATGTGAAAAATGAATGAAGATTTTTTTTGTATATTTTGACATAATTTATATTAATTTGTGGCCTGATGAATAAGTTGTAATGTTAGTTGAGTTTTTATAAAATAGTTAGCAAACATTATTTATTCAAAAATCGACGGGGCGTAGTATGAAAAGGTTTGAAACCACTGAGCTAAAATATAATAAATTTAATTTAAAAATGTTATTAATTTAACTGGAAATCACATTTATTAATTTTTAGCAAAAGAAAAAACTTCATTTGGAAATAAATCATTGAAAATTTTACTTAAAATCTAAATCTGAAATCTTATTAAAGCAAACTAAAATAATAATGACAACATTGAATGTAATTATACCTTTTTCAGTAAACTTAGCATGGCATATAGTACATTCGAAAGGCTTCAATCCAGAATGCCTAAACACGTGCTGTCTTAGGGTGCTGCTGGCGTTGAAGCTCTTACCACAAATATTACAAAGAAACGTCTTTTCTCCACTATGCGTTAAAATGTGCTTATTCAAAACACCTTGTTTTGCAAAACTCTTATTGCAAATGTGACAAACACAAGGTTTTATACCGCTGTGTTTGTTTAAATGATTTATTAGGAACTCGCCTCTGGAAAATGTTTTGGGACATAAGGTACATTTGTGTTCTTTAACTTCCATGTGTATTTTTTCGTGTCTTCTTAAGTGGCTTGATCGGTTGAATGATTTTTTGCAAACTTTACAAGATAAGTCTGTTTCCAATCGTTTGCCGTATTTCCGTTTTGTTCTGTGGGCTTTTTGTTTATGCATGTCTAACTTTTCTTCGCGTCTGAAGGTTTGGGGACACTTATCGCATCTATAGAACTTTTTATCATCACCTTGATCATCATTGTTATCGTCATTGGTATTATCATCTACATTATCAACATCAATATCATTATCATTATCGTTGTCTCTATTGTCGTTATCCGAGTCGGTGCTGACACTTTTATTCTCCTCAACTTTAACCTCAGGTTTAGATTCATTAATAATTTCCACCAAGGGCTTTAAATCTTCAGGATCATCATCATTTATCTCACAATCGGGTTCAAGTATTTCAGGACAATAATCAGAGTCTTCGTCCGATTTAGCATCCAGGCTATCGTGATCAAATTTCATATTATTCGTAAAATTTAGTCGGGCAGTATGGATTACCATGTGTCTGGTCAACAAATCTATCCTCAGGAATCGTTTTTTGCAAATGTCGCACTCGAAGGGCTTTCTGGTGGCATCGTGTACTGTCATGTGGCGAATTAGTTTGGATTCTTTGCTGAATTCTTTTTGGCAAACCTCACAGGCGTGGGTTTGGACTTTTGGGCGGCCTACTTTTCTAGGACGCCCTGGGCCCCTTTTTACCGGCGTTGGGGTAATCGGGGGTTTGGTTGACTCTTCGGGTTCGGACTCTTGTTTCACCTGGGAGAGGAATAATAATATACATGAGACTATTTTAATTTTACTATCAGAATTCTACTTTTTCAACCTATTATAGTAATTTATTAATATATATTAAAATAGTTCATTTATAAACCATACATCCGATCGCCATGAAATTAATAAATTCAAACCAAGTTTATAATAGTGTCATGGTGCATGGCATCGTGCCTTAAGGCAAATTGCTGCAACTTCCCTTACCAGAATTAAATATTCGAGCAAAAAAATTATTAATAAATATTGATCAATGATTAATAACAATTGCTTTAAACATTTTCAAAGAGATAATTATAATTACTATATATTTCATCGTTCATAAAATATACAGTGATGATCTTATCCCACAAAACACGTAAGAATGTTTACATTAACAGGAGATGGAGGATATATTTTTAAGAAAAACACGTATGACATACATATACACATTTTTAAACTAAATATAAACATTTTTTTAAGTTCAAAAAAAACTATATTTAAAGCATAAAACTTTGTAAATTTTTGAAAATTCTGCTGAAAAAAAAATTTAAATTTTGATATTTGATCGAACCGTTTTTAAAATCCCTTATTTTTTTTTATTCTTTATTCTGTAACTCCGAAACTGCTGGACCTGCCTTCCCAAAAATTTAATCAATTCTTCATTTCCATTACAAGAAAAATATTTTTTGAATAATTCAAATCGTGTTCAAATCGGAATTACCATATTTGGCACCTTTTGCCCCGTATCTTCAAAACGACTAGATCTGCCTTCGCCAAAAACTAATCAGCACAATCAATATGAATCATTCAAATCGGTTGTTCCGTATCGTCGACGAAAAATAGTATCCGCACACACACACACAAACACATCTCCATTTTTTCTGAGTTTTGCCAAAATATTCAGAAACGTCTGAAACGTGGATATGCAAAAATTTGCATTTTCGATTTTTTGACAATTACACTAACTTACTCTACGAGAAATTAAAAATCATAAAATGTGGATCAATGGTTGATAACATTTTCAAATAGATAATTATATTGGTGTTACGCTCAAAACACTTAAGAATGTTTACATTAACGAATGAATTCATCTGTGTATATATTTTTCAGAAAAACACCTATGAAAAATATGGATTTTTAAAACTTTGTAAATTTTTGAAAATTCTGAAAAAAAAAGTATGAAAATTTTGATATTTGTTCGAACCGTATAAGTGAACTTTGAAAAAATCTTGGTACGGAACCTAAAAAAAAATTAACAATATTAGTACTCATTTTTATAATCTATATCATCTTTTACCGCCAAATGAATTTCTTTTTACTTTTTTCTCTGTATCTCTTGGGAC